GCGTGGTAGAGCTTGAACAGTGTCGCGGGCGCATGCTTTCCGCCCTACAGTGTTGTAGGCGCCGCCCTCAGCCTCCGGGCGAAGAACCCGACACGGGTATACGACAACCACTACGTTCCAAGGGGGAGCTCCCGTCCTCTACAGTGGCAAACGAACAGTCACCACGGCCTCCGCTCCCCACGGGGTCGGGGATCGACAACCCTGTCCGACACGTCGCCCGCAGGGGCGGGACGTGACACCCCACTTACTAAAAGGGGCCAGGGCAGGGCCTACGAAGATCAGCGAACACGCCACTTCTGACATTGTCCGCCTTGCTGTACAGGGCAGGCGTAGAGAAAAAGGAAGACCCAAGCCCCTCGAAGGACCTTCTATACCCTTGGTATTTTCCTCTTTCACATATATGTAACCCCTGCTCCCCCCCTTCGTCTATAAAAGGGAGGGCAGGGCTCCCCACTAGAGGGACAGGAAAAAAAGAGACCGACTTTCAATGGACAACTCACATACAGACGAACTCATAGAGGGTTCAGTTCAACTCACATACACAGCCAAGCCACCTTCAGGCTCTTGGCCTCCTTTCGATCCTTCCATCAGAGACCTGGGACCAGTCCCTCTCTCGACTGTTTGTACCCCCTACTACGAACCGCTTTCAGCGCTAATAACACGAGCAGCAACAGACTGGACATAGGGACATTCAGCCCGAACCAGTATAAACCTTGTGTCCTTTAGCGCACCATCCGGGCCTAACACGCATAATTATAAATTTACTAGCCGGTGCTTGTTCGAAACACCGACAGGTGTATTTGGAAGATCAGGAATGATTGGGTGTTCAATAGCAAGTTAATCAAATCTCCTAAATCCATTGCTTATAAAGTTCTGGCACTTCTGAAACAGTGGAAGAAGATGCTCAAGGTCAAGGACCAGATGGAGTTAGAGGACACGCTGCTGAAACTTCAAGAGGGACTATGAGCGTGGTGATCATGAGCTACTAACATTGTTGTTCCATGTTAGGCGAGCGTGGCAGGCTCTCTTTTTATGTTTTTGTTTTCTATAACTCTGCTTATGGTGGGGCGCCTTTGGTGTCCTAGCATAGCAGGTCCCAAGCCCTGGTAAAGAAGGAGGGTTGTGTTATGCGCGGCGAGCCAATGTAAAAACTTAGCCACTTTAATGGAGATGAAACCCAAATTGACACTAACAGACGCTTTGTGCGGAGGATTTAAGAATCGAAGGTCAGAGAAGCCTTAAAAAGGATGAAATGGGGTAAAGTGATGGGCCCTGATGGTATCCCAATCAAGGTGTAGAGATGTCTCGGGGATATAGCTATAGTATGGCTAACCAAGATGTTCAACAATATCTATCGATCGAACAGGATGTCTGAGGAGTAGAGAAGAAGCATATTGGTACCAATCTACAAGAACAAGGGAGATATCTAAAGTTATACTAATTATCGGGGAATTAAGTTGATGAGCCACACTATGAAGTTATATGAGAGAGTCATCGAGGAGCGCCTGCGAGGAACGACGCAGATATCAATAAACCAATTTGGTTTCATATCCGGAAGGTCAACCACAAAAGCAATCTTCTTAATAAGACATGTTATGGAGCGGTTTAGAGAGCAGAAGAAGGACCTCCACTTGGTTTTTATTGACTTGGAGAAGGCTTATGATAAGATATTAAGAAATGTTATATGGTGGTCTTTGGACAAACATAAAGTCTCATCAAAGTACGTGACCCTCATCAAGGACATATACAACAATATTGTGACTAGTGTTCGAACAAACGATGGTAACATAGATTACTTCTCGATTAAAATTAGACTTCATCAAGGGTCAGCCTTAAGCCCGTATCTCTTTGCCTTGGTAATGGATGAGGTTACCAGGAACATACAAGGGGATATCCCTGGGTGTATGTTGTTCGCTGATTGTAGGGGACCGTGACGCCTAAGAGGGGGGGGGTGAATTAGGTAACTTAAAATTCTGACTTTAAATTATGGCCTCTTTTTCTAACCTTAGCAAAACCTATGCAAAAGATAAACTATTTAAATGTGCAACTACGGTTTTGCTAGTGTGTTGCTATCTCTACCGCAAAAAGGAGTAATGCAAACAATGTAAATGCGGAAGCTAAAGAGTAAGGTAGAGATATGCAAACTCTCGTCGACGACTTCGGTATTTTTACCGAGGTATCAAGAAGCGCACAAGCTTCCCTCTAGTCCTCGTTGGAGCCCCTCGCAAGGAATGCCTCGCAAGGGCCAAACTCCCGGTCGGGTAACTCCGTGGATAGCCCTCGGACCTTTCCCACACGCAAGTGGGTCTCCGATGTGCCTTCCGTCAAACCTCTCCCGGACCGCTCCCCACCGTTTTCACTATCAAACTTCCGGTCAAAACGCGGTTGGTGTGATCTCGCAAGACTAAAAGCCCTCCGATGTATAATAATGGTACGCGTAAGCACCGAGTGATAAGAGATATGCAAACCTCACTAAACACTAGGCCTAAACCAAGAGCAAGTGCATAAGCGATGGTCTAATCAACCTAAGCACTTCACAAAGCACCTACGCTAATCACCTAATGAATCACTAAGCACTATGTAAGTGGAGATCACTAAAATAGTGTAGGAACATCCTTGGTATGTTTCCTCAGCTCCACACTTCTTAAATGGCCGGTTGGGGGTCTATTTATAAGCCCCACTGAGAAAGTAGCCGTTGGGGACGAAACCCACTTTTCTGCTACTGACCGGACGCTGTTTTCGTCCTGACCGGACGCGTCTGGTCGTCCCGACCGTTAGAGTGCGCGCATTGATCGGATGCACTGCGAGTCCGGTCACTGTTGATCGGACGTGTCCAGTCGCAAATTCACCGCTCTGGAACCTCTCTGGACTCGATCGGATGCTGCAGTTTCTGCGTCCGGTCGATCACCCTCCAGCATCCGGTCAGTGCTGAGCTGTTGTCGCGACAGTGAACAGTGTCATCATCACGTCCGGTCACTTTCAGTTCTTAGCGTCCGGTCGCTGCTGCTGACGCCTGCAGTTGCCGAGCAACTGATTGGACACGTCCGGTCGATCACCTTCCAGCCGTCCGGTCACTTCTGTGAGCTCGTTTCTTCGTGATCTTACGTCCGGCTTGGTTTCTATCTTCGTGCTTGGACTTTGCTTGATATCTTGGGTCTTCTCTTGTGCTTCTAGGGTCTTGCTTATGGTGTTGATCGTGGGATCACCATGTCGCCTTCGTCCAAGTCACATCTTGCACCCTATTGAACTACAAAACAATCACTTGCAAATACATTAGTCCAATTTAGTTGTGTTGGTCATCAAACACCAAAATCCAAAGTAAATGGGCCTAGGGTCCATTTTTCTTACACTGATGATGTAGTGTTAGTGGACAAAAGGCAGGCGGGAGTAAATAGAAAACTAGAGTTATGACGGTAGACGCTTGAGTCTAAATGTTTTAGATTGAGCAGAACTAAAACCGAATACATGATATGCGACTTTGACAGAGTTGTACAGGAGCAGGGAGATGTGAGTTTGGAAGGTCAAGTAGTGCCAAAGAAGGATACATTTCGGTATCTGAGATCGATGCTACAGAGGGATGGAGATATTGATGCGGACGTTAGCCATAGAATCAAAGCAGGGTGGATCAAGTGGCGACAAGCTTTCTGGCATTCTCTGTGACAAGAGGGTACCACAAAAGCTAAAAGACAAGTTCTATAGAACGACGATTAGACCTGCTATGTTGTACGGAGCAGAATATTACCCTACAAAGATTCGACATGTTCAACAACTGAGTGTTGCAGAAATACGTATGTTGCGATGGATTTGCGGTCACACAAGAATAGACCGAGTTTAGAACGATGATATACGTGATCGCCTAGAGGTAGCACCAATTGAAGAAAATCTTGTCCAACATCGGTTGAGGTGGTTTGGCCATGTCTGAAGGAGATCTACAAAGGCACAAGTACATTGTGGAGTCCTAAGCTAAGCCAATAATATGAGGAGAGGTAGAGGAAGACCGAAATTGACATGAGGGGAGGCAATAAAAAGAGATTTGAAAGCTTGGGATATACCTAGAGATCTATGTTTGAATAGAAGTACTTAAAAAACAGCTATTGGAGTGTCCGAAACCGTGACTTATGGCTCTTGGTGGGTTTCAACTCTAGTCTTTTCCAATTTGCTTGGGACTGAAAAGCTATGTTGTTGTTGTTGTTGTTTTCTATAGCTCTTTCTGGTATTTTGCTTTTTCTGGGAGGATGAGAGATTTTGAGTGGCTATGAAGTTCAAACTGTTATCGTAAGCTGGAACCCCAACAGTACCCGTTTTGTTTTCAATATAAGCAGAACCAAAGGTCTTTGTTCTAAAAAAAACTTCTGATCAAATGATATATCGATTTGCAGAACAAGAAATAGAAAATTACCTTACAAAGCAATTATAGAAATATAAACATCCTGTAAATATTACCGTGGACCGCGAGGGGCAAACAAAATTCAGGTGGGAAAACTCTCCTCCCCCCTCCCCGCGACAAAAAAAAAAAAAAAGAAAAAGAAAATTAAACAAAAAATAGTAGGCCTCGGATTAAAAGGACCAAGCAGTAGCAGAAGATCATACACAGGAGGACAAGAACCTCACAAAGCCTTGGCTAATTGATCTGATATATTGCAAATTGCTATCACAAACAATCAAACATGTACATATCAGTAGCAGTTTCATATTCGCCATGTCTGAGAGCCTGCAATTTGGCAAGCACCCGACTGATCACGTATATACAAGATGCAGAGGAGCAAACTTCACAAAGGCCCCCTGGACGGCTGGACCTCATCCATCCATCCACCATGCCTTTATTCCAAAGAGCAAAGGATGGGGGAGAATCTCCAAGAAGCCAAGAAGAAGAGGGAGGAGAATCAACGAGGACTCACATACTCAGCACGCAACTAAAGGAAGGAGCTCACGAGAATTCTTCTTCTTCGCACGCCTCGTATCGTATCGGACCCATCAGCCGGCCGATGATTTGATCGGGCTCACCCGCGATCGTAGTAGCCGCGCGCCGCGGAGGAGAGGAAGCCCCGCACGTCGGCGCCGGCGCCGGCGAGGCGGACGTAGTAGGGCGCTGGCGACTCCGGCGGCGACTCGTTGCGGAAGGGGTTGCCGATGGGCGTCTGCCCGCCGTTGGCGAGGTGGAGGATGGCCCGGTACAGGAACGGCAGCAGGCCCTCCATGATTCCGCTCTGTCGCTCACTAAACAACTCCAAAAGCAAGGCAACAGGCCAACGACTACTACTGTTCTGTTCCCCCCTGTGTTTGGTTAGCCTGGTGCAAGTGCAGCTGCGAGGGGTTTATAAAGGCGATTGATTAGCGTTAGCGAGACGGAGATGTGCACTGGACTTTTTTGACTAATCAATTCGATCAGAGGAAGTAGTGGAGAACAACTGGATTGAATACGGCGGCAAAGGCTCGGAAAGGGAAATGGTCAATCAGAGCATCTGGAAGAAGAGGGATGGATAATATGTGCCTGGACGAGCTGAAGCTGAAGGTCAGGAAACTGATATTTATCAGGAGGCACAGGAATACAGGATGGAGTAGTTTAGGCAGGGCCTGTTCGCTTGAACTTATCAGCCGACTTATTAATCTATAGTATTTTTCTCTCGCAATAAATTAGCTTCAGCCGATTTTAATATCAGCCGAATATTAATTATGGGAACAGCTCAGTTGGTGGGGACAAATGATTTTTTTTGTGGTACCTGCTGCCTGCTCCCTGCTGGTGGCAAATCCGGTGTTGCTCTGGGTTTCAGATTCTGGTCTTGGGGGAGAGGACAGATGAGGAAGACCAATCCAATCCTCCATATATAAACAACCGCACCAATGGGCTTCTGCCTGAAGAAATAAAAGGAGGGCCACAGAAAAAGATGCATATATATGTATACATCACATATATTCAGGTTGGGGACGGACAAGGGACAAATTACCTGACGTTAGGACAAATTCTAGTGATGTTTGTTATGCATTCATGTCAACGTTCCTTTGTCCGTTAGGTGAAACTTGCGATTGAAGCTTCACCATAAAACTTATCATTGGGCCAACAAATTGAGGTTTAATCCGGAATTTGGTAGACCATCTTTCTCTCGTATCTGAAAGAATGGGTCAACTTGAAGCATCATCCAGCTTACTGAAAATGACATCCTACTAAGTCTATCTAGGTGCAGACAAGGAGCTAGTGGCCAAATAGCCCCCTCCTGGATCATCAAGAGCTTAGTACATTTCAAACCGCTCGGTGAACACCTGACACACCATGGATAGCAGAGTAGTACAACAGCGTAAACATATATATCCCAGCGGGCTCCAATTTGCAATCATTGGTAACACATAATTTCATTTCCAGAATGAATTTCTAGCAACAAGTGTCGAAGCCTCTCTCTCTCTACATAAGCTAACCTATTGCTGGTGGCTGGCTCTGTTTGTGTGACGATTCCTCCACATGAAAGATGAGCAAGTCAACGGGGGGTAAGCAAAGATGTTGCTTACAAAACTGGTGCGACAACAATCCCAGGTGCTGTGGATGCGCATCACCTTGGTGAACTTAGGTGGAAGATCTGACAGTCTGGTTTGTATTTGTTATTGGATGTAGCCTCTTCAAATTTCTTCAGTGGCCCTTCGTTCTCTGTCAAGCCAGTCTGGACAAAGTATCGTGTCCACCATGAAGAACTCCGCAATTTTGCCTGAAGACAAACAAGGTAGATTTTTTCAGTGAATGAATCTAATTTGCCGATCATGAAAAATCTTCACCCAAAAAGATTATGGCCTTCAGTATGCATAGTATATTCCATTGTGGTGTGGAACAGACATACTTGGATTAGACAAAAAAAAAACAGCACAACCAACAGTCTCTGATCAACACCAAGTCACCAACCATCAATAGCACTAACAGTATCCTACTACGGTGTGGAACCAACAAAAAATAAATAAAACCATAACACGACAAAACTGCTAAAGCAAAAGGCTCTAAACAATACCTGCAATCAATATTCAATGACACTAACAGACTTGGCAATAGGTAACATGTGTATCAAATTACGTCATAATACATCCTTAGTCAATATAATAGATCTAATCTAATTTTGAGATGTCAAACATCCACGCTGAAATATGCCATATAAACAATATTACTAGAGCAGTAATTTCTAGACCATCAGTGTTTATACAGTGTTGCTGTATCATGAACAGGAAATACATAGAACAATAAGTTTGGCTTAGTAAATTGGACATCTTGTAGTTAAGTCATCACCCTGTTCGCTTAATTGTTTGTGTGGCTTATAAGCTAGCTAATGCTGTTTTGTTGTGAGAGAAAAACACTGTATCATGGCTGATAAGTCTGGCTGATACGATCAAGCGATCAGGGTGTGCAAAACAAATTTGCATGCTATCAATAGAAACCATCTATGCATACCGGTCTTCCAAATTTTGGTAGTTCTGAGACCTTAGCTTTCTGCTGACCCGGATTGCCTGTAAAGAAATGAAACAAACATTTCTCAGATGATCTAGACCATCCACGTATACCACAAAAAGTTATGTTTAAACATTTGGTAAATAATGGTATAAAAAAGAGTACAGGAGTAGAGCATTATTCAGGGCCTAGGTGGACATTACTAGCAGATTGCCAACTTTGAATGACTACTCAAAAAGGAATATAGATCTGTTTGAGCAGAAAAGTTTCAGCTCCAGTACCCACCACAAGACTTCAATCATGTACCTAACTACCTACTCCAGAGGACCACACCTTAAAAGTTGATAACACTTTGATCTCCAAGACGTTAGTATCATCTGATGTTGCACTACCCCAGATTTAAATCTGACATCTTAAGATAGAAACACATAGTACTTTTAAGGTTCATCCTTGTATCATCTGATGTTGTGCTATCACATATTTAAATCTGTTATCTTAAGATAGAAACACATACTTCTTTAAGGTTCATCCATATGTTTTCTTTTTATTGTTTCCACTTGGAAAGAAAATCCAATTAGTTCAAGACACACAGCTAAGATACATGGAGTTCTTAATACAGTTAAAGAAAGACACGTGGAAAAACAGCAGCAAGAATATTTCAAGTAAAAGATGGTTTGTTTCAAATATAACAGCAACCAAAGAAATATAATCAATCAGTAGTGTTTTATTGCCGATAGTAAAAAAGAATGGATGTCCACTTATTAAAAAAAAAGCTATTTACCACACAAAGGTACAACAATTGGTATGTGTAGGTCAAATGAGGGTTTTCCCAGAAAAAGAGGAGGCAGTAAACATTTCAAGAAAAAACACATACCAGCAAAAATAACAAGGCCATCTGTGGAAACCCTTGCTAAATCCGGAAGCGTTTTGTTCAGATACCTTGGGGTCAGATAATCTAAAGCATCTGACACAACAACAAGATTAAAAGAATCTGGACGGTATGGAAGGGGGAACTTAATATCAGACATACGGACAAAGCCCTTGCGCACGAGGCTTTTGCAAGTACTGTCAGTATCCTCCAAATCATAAGGCTCCACTCCCCAAGCTTCAACTTTTCCTTCTTTCAACAAATTAGAAACTACTGTACAGCTATCAGGGCCTACATGGAGAACCTTTTGCATGGCATTGCCATATGCCTTTTTAAGATATGGAAGTGCCCGCATAACTTCTGATGTGCAAGAACCTGGTTGCAGATGTAGATGGAAAGTCTGAGATTAAGAGGAGAACAAACTTCCCTCATCAACGTGTTGGGAAACAAAAATGTGAAGATGAATAAAGCAATTAAATAATCATTCTACTATCCACTGCAATATTCGCCAACTCAACTTGCAGTTTGACTTGTATTAGGCTCATAACCAATTTCACAAATCATGCACCTAATGTAGAAAATTAGCTACTAATCTTCCTGATCATATGGGAGAAAAGAAAAGGTGAAAAAAAAAGAAATCTGTTTTGTTTAGTTACCAAGAATCAGAGAACCAAATCATAGTGGCAAAGCAGAGTTTCAGTGTTCAGAGGAGGGGGGGATCCTATTTATCATATGGGGTTGATTACTGTTGCTAGTATTAAATGCATTACTAGATATTTCATAGCCTACTAAGGAATACCAAACATCAAATCAGCTACAGCGGAAATAGGACACAACTGCAGCAAAAGCGGAGGCAGAACAACATAAATGCAGGGTCTCAATAGGATATTGCTCTTAAGGATAAGCATACAGATTGTGTCTGTGAGATTTTAGGGTAACTGCACTACTAAACAATGCTAAGATAACAATAACATAGCCACGAATAAGATATATTGTTAAAACTAGTTGAGCGTCTTAATTGCAAACTACAATAGCAAGTGCAACCTTGTAATCAGAGAGAACAAAAAAAAATATTTCAGGCTGCAAGTCTAATGACACGTTGAAGAGCAAGTTTAAGAGAGAAATCAGAAATTTGGATGACTAAAGAAATAACATCAGCAGGTGATTTGACACCCAAAGAGAGAAGTGGAAGGGAGGGGGAAAAATATACCTTCAGACCTGGTCACAGCCTCTCTGCTTGTAACAGTTACACCTGGCCATTAAAGAAAGAGTCAAACTAGAAGTACAAGGAAACACTGATTGGTTTTATTTTGGTCTTTTGGAACAAACCAGTACATGCCAATAACATAGAACGGTCATAATTCATAGCTGTCAATTCAATACATACTAACTCAAGTCAGTTTGCTTTCAAAATTGCATAATAATACATATGCATTTATTACTTTTTAACAACCAAATAGCAATTGTGCATGCTTGGCGTGTCCCCACTATCAGACCATGTACTGACTACAAAACAATTGATGAATTTGATTTAAAAAGTTACAAGCTCTTTCGCCACCCTACAGCAAATAATTTGATTTGTACATGTCACAAGCCATGTTCTATCGCCAAGTAGCAAGCACAGACTTTTCGTAATCCAACATTAATCAGGAAAATTGAGTGAGCGAGTCTAACCGAGAATCTTTAACCGACCTGAGCCGCTGTTGAAGTAGGCGATGAGAAGGATGACACCCTGCAAACATGAGCACATAACACCATCAGCATCCGGAAAATTACAACTAACAGCAGTAGCAGTCGGGTAACAGACAGAGAGCTAGAATTACCAGGACGACGAGGGCAAAGGTGAGCACGGGAGGCGAGCGTGACTTGGGGTGGAACAGGCCGCCGACGGACGGCAGACTCCCGTCCGACACCCGCCGGCTCGGGTTCACCGACCTTCTGGACATCCTCCCCTCCCTCTCTCCCTAATCCGACCACCCAAGCTCTATCTCTCTCCCCCTCGATCACCTGGTCACATGAACACAGCGTCGCTCAGATTATTGGCCAAAAAATTCGAAATAAAATGAGAAATCTCCCACAATGCAGCGGCACGGGATGCATCCGCAGCCCGCAAGGCCCCGCGTCGGCCGTAGATCGGAATCCCTTCTAGCGCGAGGCGGTACCTCTGGCAATGGAGGAGGCGTGGCGGCGGTCGGAGACGAGGAGGAGGAACCCGGCGCTAGGGTTGCCGGATTGGGGGTGGATCTGAGGCGCGGAGGTGGGGCGGAGTGGGGTGGGGGTGGAGGGGCAGCCAGCGGATGGCGATCCGGCGCGATAGGGACGGCACGGCACGGCACGGGCACGGGAATGGGATTAACTTCGCTGAAGCTCACGCACAGGGGAATAAAGCGCGCCCTGCACTCCTGCTATATGCGACGGTGGCAGATCAGCACGCCATTAGCGACCGAGACGAGGGGATTAGTGGAGCGCGGCCCGAATTCCGAGGGTGGGGAGGAAGAGATTTTGTTCGGGGATGTCGGTCGTCGACGCGTCCTGGCCTAGGGGGACACTGACTGGTGGGCCCCCGGTCTTTTCTATTCCTTTTTGTGTGTTGGTTGCCGGCCCTGGTGGGTTTCGGCCCAACCCCATCGTGCTCGTCCAGAATGTTCACTGCTCGTCACTAGTCAACGCACAAATGGCCATTCGTAACCCTGCTATGGCATCATTGATCAGGTTTCAGTGTACCTAACACTTACATAGTTGCGGACTGATAAATTAAATAAAAACACAGTTGCACGCTAAAAAAAAAGAAAGTGAAAAGAAACACAGCTGAGTCAATGTGCCAATGTAGAAGTCTCAGAGCCTTGCGTTTGCATAAACTAAAACCACTTGTTAGGATCATCTGAGCCTATATCCCAACCTAGAATATATTAGATATTATGGGCTTGGCCCATTTATTTAATATCTCTATTAAACTCTATGGTCCGTACATGTGCATTAATGATTTTTATACCATATGAAAATTTAATCGAGAGGCGACTCTACTTAAATACTTGATCATTGATCGATCTATTTGAGAAGTAAAAGTGAATCACCTGGATGCCACACGCTGCTGCCGCGCCCCGCCCGACCCGTCTTGCAAGGCGTGGGCGTGGGCGTGGCGTGGCGGTGGCTGCGGCCAGACGGCGAGGCGAGGCCTTTATTTTTGACACTCGGTTTCTGTGATTTAATTGATTGGAGGAGTTTCGTTAACTCCCCGTGACTTCCGGCTCTCCGTCTCCGCCTCCCACCGCAGGGGAGGTGTGACCTCGGTGTCGTCGGCTTCGCCTTCTCCGGCCTCCGCCTATAAGACAAATCCTCCCTCTCGGTTAAGCTCTCTTGACGAAGTACATCACTTTCAAATAAGCGCAAGTCTTTTCCGCTCCACCTCCCATGAGCACCGAGAGATGGAAGAGTAGGCCTCCTAACGCCAGCGTCTCCGTCGTGGGCTTCATCTGCCGAGTGAAGACAGGCGATTACGCTTTTTGGGGAGTGTCGGTGGTGGCACGACTACTCATTGGTGAACTCAGAAGCGGTGCGTCTTCACGGCGTCCTTATCTCAGACCAGACGGCGGGACGACTATAAAGAACAAAGCACCACCATGGCCTTTCTCAGTGCGGCTTGGCTCCGCCCGTGCAGGTATAATCTCCTTCACCCTCTTCTCGAGTTTCATTATCAATATCATGATGTTCCTAGGCAATACTACTTTCATATTCAAAGATGCTCTGTTTGGTTGATTTGGATGATTATGCTAGTCTTTGTTTTTCTGGTTCCTTTTAATTTTGTGATCATCATGATCTTGATATTTGAGAACACATCTTTTATATTTATGATCATGTCTCGTGAGGCTTCAAATTTGAATAAAACAATGTTTCACATATGTTTTGGTTCTATAATTTGCCTTATTATCATGTTAACACTTGTCATGAATTGTTTCTGTCATTTTATTCATGACGTCACTCTTATTTTTATTGCGTCATTTTTATGGATTAAAATAAATAAGAAAATGCCTTATTTATCAACGTTCCAAAAACGTAATTTCGTGCCATTTTCATCTATTGGCTTTATGGGCATGCTAAAGCCTCACGCCGCGTTTGAGGGCACTCACTACAAGAGGTGGCGGAGAAAGCCCATACGTGGGTTGTCGGCCATGCTTGCGCCGTGGTCATGTGCTCAATGAGCGACTGCCATCGTGTGAGATCGATGAGGATGAGCAGGCTTGGGGGACATGCTAAGACCATGTGCAAGGCTGCACTGTTGAGCATCATCAGTGACTCTCTGGTTGATGCCTACATACCACTCCCGACTGGCAGAGCTGTGTGAGAGGCTCTTGAGGCCCGGTACGGTCTTTCCGATGCCGGTTCTGAGCTGTACATCATGGAGCAGTTCCATGACTACAAGATGGTTGATAACCGCCCCAGTAGTCGAACAGGCTCATAAGATCTGTGGACTGGTGAAGGAATTGGAATTGTACTGGCTGTCCCTCTCCTCGACAAAGTTCATGGCAGGGTGCATTATTGCTAAGTCGCCACCTTCATGGATCTGATTTTGCTACTACCTTGAAACACAAGAGGCAAAGCAGTTTAGCATTGTTGAACTTGTTGGCACTCTTGGTGTTGAGGACAAGGCAAGAGCAAAGGATGTCAAGGGAAAGAGCAAAGGGGAATGGTGAGGCGACTACTAGTGCACATGTGGTGCAAAAGTTTTCGTCCTAAGCCACAAAAGAGGAAGCCCCAACAGGAGCTTAAGCAGAAATCCACTATCTCCTTCAAGAAAGGTAATAATAAGAAGATGGGATTAGACAAGGCAAAGATGAACTGCTTCACTTGTGGAAACACTGGTCACTTCTCTAGAGAGTGTCCTGAGGCTAAGTGGAAGCCCTCACCAAAGGCGAAGACAGTCAACACCATTGAGACTGATGCAGACGCTTCTGGGTACGGTAATTTATCTGCATTTACAGTTTGTTCCTCACCGATTGGTGGGTTGATACAGTGCAAATATACATGTGTGCTTGATAAGTCCTTATTTTCTTTTTACCAGTCGGGAGGAGTGGAGCCTTGCTGATGGGGAATGGCGCGCGTGCTAGTGTTCATGGTGTTGGTACGGTGGATCTGAAGCTTACTTCGGGGAAGACCGTGCAACTCAAGAACGTGCATCATGTCCCCTCAATAAGGAAAAATCTTATTAGTGGCTCTCTGTTATGTCGAGACAGTTTTAAACTTGTGTTTGAGTCGAATAAATGTGTTATGTCGAAGTATGGAACCTTTGTTGAAAAAGGCTATGAGAGCGGAGGCTTGTTCCGCTTGTCGTTGGTTGATACTTTACCTCTTGCAGTGAATAATGTCGTTAATAACGTTAATGTTGAGATGAATGTTTGGCATTCTCGATTATGTCATGTTAATTTTGGTTGCATGTCCCGCTTAGCTGGTTTGAATTTAATTCCTAAATTTGACGTTGCCAAAAGTTCCAAATGTCATACATGCGTTGAGGCAAAACAACCTCGCAAGCTCACAAGGCGATTGCAATGAGAGAGTTGGCACCACTTGAACTCATCCATTCCGATATTTGTGAAATGAGCGGAATTTTGACAAAAGGTGGTAAGAGATACTTCATAACGTTCATAGATGATTGCACTCGATATTGCTATGTGTACCTAATTAAAACAAAAGATGAGGCATTACATTATTTTAAAACCTTTTAAAGTCGAGGTTGAGAATCAACTTGAAAAGAAAATCAAACGGTTGTGGTCCGATCGCGGGGAGAATATTTCTCTAATGAATTTTTCGAGTTTTGTGCGGTGTGCGGTATAATCCATGAGAGGACACCTCCATACTCACCACAATCCAATGGGATTGTTGAGAGAAAGAACCGCACTCTAACCGACTTGGTGAATGCCATGTTGGAGACAATTTGGTTTATCTAAGGAATGGTGGGGTGAGGCAATTTTAACTGCGAATCATGTCCTAAATAGAGTGTCCACAAAGAACAAAGAAATTACTCCATTTGAGGAATGGGAGAAAAAGAGGTTAAATATTTCTTATCTTCGCGTTTGGGGTTGTTTGGCCAAAGTGAACGTGCCAATAAACAAAAAGCGAAAGCTTGGACCAAAAACTGTAGATTGTGTTTTCCTCGGCTATGCCATTCATAGTGTGGGCTATCGGTTTTTAATAATAAATTCTAGTGCTCTTGATATGGCTGTTGGAACGGTCATGGAGTCTAGAGATGCCACGTTCTTTGAGAATGAATTTCCAATGAAAATAGGTGCACCTAGCGTGTCTAGTCATGATTCTGTTCCTTAATTTCATGAATCGAATATACACGCTGATGATAACACCCATGAGCTTGAGCAAAATCCTGAGGAGAATGATAATACTGTCACTCGAAGGAGTAAGAGGCAAAGAGTTGCAAAATCCTTTAGAGAAGACTTTATTATATATCTTGTGGATGACACTCCCACAACCATTTCTGAGACATACTCTTCTCCTGAGTCTGACATGTGGAAGGAGGCAGTGCAAAGTGAGATGGACTCCATTATGTCTAATGGGACGTGGGAAGTGGTTGATCATCCATTTGGTTGCAAAACTGTGTAATGCAAATGGGTGTTTAAAAAAGAAGTCGAGGCCCTGATGGTACAATTGAGAAGTACAAAGCTAGGCTTGTTGCTAAGGGTTATACAGTAAGGAAGGTGAAGATTATTTTGATACTTACTCACTGTTGCTCGATCGACGACCATTAGTGGTGTTGCTATCCCTGGCCGCCTCACATGATCTTTTCATTCATCGATGGATGTTAAGATGCCTTCCTAAATGGAGAGCTTGAGGAAGAGATCTACATGGATCACCCTAATGGGTTTATTACAAATGGTCAAGAGGGTAAAGTTTGTAAGTTATTGAAGTCCCAGACGGCCTAAAGCAAGCCCCCAAGCAA